TCGAACTCACAGACCGCAAGATCGTGACCTGGCTGAAGTCGGACACTTAACCGACTGCGCCACCCAGGCGCCCCTACATTTCTCTTCACTCATTGCAATGACCCGAGCCAGAAACCAGAAGCCTGTGGTCCCATTGGCCCACTGACCCCCACCCGGCATCTCTGTCTCTCAGGCCTGCGCTCTTGAACATTGCCGAAAACTTCACAGTGCTCATCAAAAATAACATCGACTTCCCTGGCCACAACTACACCACGTAAGTGTCCAGAATGTCAGACTGTGTTAGCTATCTACTGCCATATAACGAATAATGCCAAAACTTAGAAGCTTAACAACCAACATTTATTATCTCACGCTTTTTCTGTGGGTAAGGAATGTGGGTATTACTTTGCTGGGTGTTTCTGACTCAGGGTCTCTCAGGTGGCAGTCAAGCTATCTGTCAGTGGGGACTGCAGTCACCTCTGGGCTTGACCGGGGCTGAGAATCCTCTTCCAAGCGCACTCACCTAGATGTCAGCAGGGAGTTCAGTTCCCCACCATATGGACCTCTCCCTAGGACTGCCTGAGTATCCTTAGGAATGGTGTCTGGCTTCCCCCACAGCGGGTGATCCAAGAGGTACAGAGAGCAAGCCAGCCAGACAGTAAACAAGATGGGAGCCTTTTATGACTTCATCTTGGAAGTGACACAGCATCGCTTCTGCCATATGCTATTGGTCACATAGACTAACCCTGCACAGTGTAGGAGGGGACTACACAAGGGTGTAACTCCAGGGACTGAGGACCCCTGGGGCCCCTCATGGAAACCAGCTAACAATTGGCTCACTCCTATGAAAGAGATGGGTCTCAGTTTCCAATAGACATTTTTGTTGGTTTGTTGCTTCTCATTGTGTGCAGGAGAAACATCTTGCCGGGTGTAAACATCACTTGTACCTTTCACAAGACTCAGGATCCACAGTGTCCCATCTTCCGACTAGGAGATATCTTCCGAGAAGTAGGAGATAATTTTTCAGATGCTGCAATTCAGGTTGGTGACTTCTTTGTACAGTGAGTCAGGGGATCTCAAACGGCCAAGAGGCCAGGCCTCCGGGTCTTAATTATAAGGCTTCCTTCACTGAGCATTTAGTAAATCTCACACTCTGCATTACCTCATCTAATCAGGCAACAAAGCTGTGGGGGAGATCCCTGGTTTCCTGTGGCTGCTGTAACAAACTACCACAGTCTTGGTGGCTTACAACAACACACTTTTTTTTTTTTTTTTACACTTCTGGCAGTTGGAAGTCTAAAGTCAGTTTCACTGGACCAAAACCAAGGTATCAGCAGGGCCATGCTCTCTCCAGAGGCTCTACAGAAGAATCCGTTTCCTTGCCTTTTCCACCTTCTAGAGCTACGGTCCTTGCATTTCTTGGCTCGTGGTCCCTCCCTCCAGCTCTGAAGCCAGCTGTATGGCGTCTTGCTTCAGTGGTCCCACTGACTTCTTGTTCTGTGTCAAGTCTCCCTCAACCTCCCTCTTATAAAGATACTGATCTTTTTGAGAACATTTATAAAAGGAAACATGTAGGGCCCATCTGGATAATCCAAGATAATCTCCCCATCTCAAGATCCTTAATTTAATTGCAGTCTCTTTTGCCCTATAAGATAATATATCCAAAGAGTCCAAGGAATAGGACCTGGGATTGGAATATCTTTGGCAATGATTCAGAGTACCATACTTGAATTAGTCAGAATTCTTCCAGTTGTACGTTATAGACATCCAAACCAAATGATGTGAGCAAAGAATAAATTAAAAAGCATCTGGGGGGCAAAAAGAAACCAAATAATTGGTTTAAGCCAAAAAAAAAAAAAAAAAAAAAAAAAAAAAAAAAAAAAAAAAAAAAAAAAAAAGAGCCATATTAACTCATATAAAGACACCAGGGGAAATGGACCTTCTAGTACAGCTAAGGCATTTTCCTACCTCGGAAATTTTCTTCCTTTCTGGAAAAGTCTTGCCCCAGACATACCATTAGCTGTCTCCCTCACCTGCTTCCAGTCTGTGCTCAAATATAAGTTCAGTGAAGTTTTCCCTTACCACTTCATTTAAAATGACAATTTCTAGGGGCGCCTGGGTGGCTCAGTTGGTTAAGTGTCCAATTTCAGCTCTGGTCATGGTCTCACAGTTCATGAGTTTGAGCCCCATGTCAGGCTCTGTGCTGACAGCTCAGAGCCTGGAGCCTGCCTGGGATTCTGTGTCTCCTTCTCTCTCTGCCCCTCCCCCACTCATGCTCTGCCTCTCAAAAATAAATAAACATTAAAACATTTTTTAAAATTTTTTTGTGTGCTTATTTTTGAGAGAGAGAGAGAGAGAGAGAGAGCATGAATGGGAAAGGGGTAGAGAGAGAGGGACAACAAATTAGAGGTGGGCTCCATGCTGTCAGCGCAAAGCCCGATGTGGGGCTTAAATCCACAAACTGCGAGATCATGACCTGACCTGAAGTCAGATGCTCAACCGACTGAGCCACCCAGGTGTCCCCCCCAAAATTTTTAAGTGACAATTTCTAACCCTATCCAGCACTATCTGACATACTATATAATTTACATATCCATTTGTCTGTTGTCTGTTTTCCCTGACTAGAATGTAAATTCCATGAGGGCAGGGATCTTTGGCTTCTTTTGTTAGTTTTTGTATAATGCTCAGCATAAAGGACACTCAATAAGTATTTGTCGACTGAATGAAGTGTATGATAGCAGTAGGCATGGCTGCATCCAGGAACTCAGATGAGGTCTTTAGGAATCTGGCTCCCCATCTCTTTGCTTTTTCTTTAATGACAAGGTCACTCTCAGATCGTCCTCATGTCAAGACAAAGGCACCAGAGCCTTTAGAACTGCACTGTCTGATACGGTAGCCACTAGTCACATGAAGCTATTTAAATTTAAATTAATTGAGATGAAATATTTATTTCCTTTGTCATGCTAGCCACATGTCAAGCACTCAGTAGCCACATGCAGCTAGTAGAGACTTTATTGCACAGCATGAATATAGAATATTTTCATCACTACAGAATATTCTGTTGGACAATGTTGCTCTGAACTCTCACACTCTCTAGCTGGTGGTCCCAACCAATAGAGGACCTCTTTTTTTTATGGTTCTGACAAAATGTCTCAGAGAGGGCTCTGATTGGTCAATCTTGGGCCACATACCTATTCCTGAACCAGTCACCAGGTCCAGAGGGATGCCTAATCCTGACTGGCCAGGCCTAGATCATGTTCCCACTCCTGGAGCTGGGAGAGGCGACAGTCCCATCCAAACCGCTCAGTTGGGAGAAACGTTTCCCAAAGAAACTTCCAGGGACTTTTACCAGGAGAACTGGATGCTGAGTGACAGAAACATCATATATTCACAATAATATGTACAGTGCTTGGCTTAGTGCCAATAAATGATAATTGTGATTATTCTGTATTATTTCCCCTTTCTCCAAGTCAGAGTCTGCTTGTTTTTCATCTTTCTATCCCTAGCATCTAGATACTGTCTTGAAATACCATATTATATCAATTCAAAGACATACTTTTTTCTGAAATATTTAATATTTATATTTCTGAATCAGGAAATACTTTAGATTCATGGAATTTCACAGTTTAATTGACAACATTTGTTATGTTCCTTCTTAGAGGAACATAAAAAGAAAATTATGTATCTGATAAGCAATGGTGTCTAAGATTCAGTGAAATAGGACAGTCAGTGTTCAAAACATGTTTGTAGAAAGAAAGAAGTACCAAGTAGAGGTAAAAGATTAAAAGGTTCCTTAGAAGTTCAGAGAAGAAAAAGGTGACCCTGAACTGAGGAGAATGGGGAGGCTGAAGTGACAAGGAAGGATGTACATTAGGTCTTGGAGTCGGATGAGGACTTAGCTAGAGAGATGGGTGGGAGAAATATTTCAATGGGAGAAAAGGACAAGGGCCAAGACTTAAAAGTTCAAAGTGTACCCAGAAATTCCACTCATCATAAGTAGACACAGAAGAGAAAGGACATCATATGTCCACACAAACTCTCGTACTAAGTGTTTGTACATAAGCTCGTACATCAGCAGCATTATTCATAATAGCTAAAAGGTGGAAACAATCCAAATGTCTATCAGAGGATAAATGGATAAATCAAATGTAGTCTTTCCATACAAAGAAGTATTCTTCCACCACAAAAAAGGAATGAAGGATTGACACAGGCTACAATATGGATGAACTTTAAAAATATTACGACAAGTGAAAGAAGCCACACACAAAAGCCACACACATAATCACCTATTATGTGATCTCATTCATATGAAAGTTCAGAAGAAGGAAGTCTATAGAGACAGAAAGTAAATTAGTGGTTGCTTAGGCTGAGGGAGGGGAGAAAGGGGTGTTGGCTAAAAGTTCAGGGGTTTCTTTTGGAGGCAATGAAACTTGTAAAATTTATTATGGTGATGGTCACACATATATGTGAACGTACCAAAAAATATTGAATTAAACACTTTAAGTGCCTAAACTGTATCTCAATAAATCTGTTAAAAAAAAAAGAAATGAAAATTTCAAGTGCTTTAAGGGAAAAGTATACACAGTTTGGAATAAGAGCTTTCTCCAGGGGGTTGTTGGGAGGTAAAGCAGAAAAGATATGTGATGGGGCACCCTGAATTCCAGTGTAATAAACTTCAACTTCATCTTGAATGGGAGGCGGGCAGTCAAGGTGTTGATTATGGGAGAGATTTATTGAAAGTTGTATTTTAGGAAAAGAAATCTAACGGTGTGTCCCAAATGGGAAGAAGAGCAGGGAGACGCGTTTGCAGCTACTTGTGTGTGTTAGATGGGCTCATGTACTCATGGCTCTGAAATTTAATCCGTGTTTTCCTCTAAAAAGAAAACCTTTGGGGTGCCTGTGGCTCAGTCAGTTAAGCATCCGACTTCAGCTCAGGTCATGATCTCATGGTTCGTGGGTTCCAGCCCCACATCAGCCTCTGTGCTGACAGCTCAGAGCCTGGAGCCTGCTTCAGATTCTGTATCTCCCTCTCTCTCTGCTCCTTCCCCACCCATGCTCTCTCTCGCTCTCACTCTCAAAAATAAACATAAAATTTTTTTTAAAAAGAAAAGAAAAGAAAACCTTTGCCTTAGTGATCATCCCTATGCAGGGAGAGGTCTGGTAGCTGTGTCCCACATGCAGCAGGACTTGCAAACTGTGTCTCCTTGTCTTCCCCAGGGAGGAATCATGGGCATTGAGATCTACTGGGACTGCAACTTGGACAGCTGGTTCCATCGCTGCCATCCAAAATACAGTTTCCGTCGCCTTGACGACAAGACCACGAATGAGTCCTTGTATCCTGGCTACAACTTCAGGTAACAGCGCTCCAGGTCAGACCGGCCACCACTGGCTCTGCACAAACCTCCAAGGCCAGGCTGAATTGCATAACCAGCAGCTGGCAAGAATTAATTTTGGTTCCCAAGGCAACAAGATGAATGCAAAAGTCCTCTACGAGCTAGGGAATGGCTGGATTTTTGTATGAATTTTTTTTCTTTTGAAAAAAAAAAACAAAAACAGAAACAAAAGTGGGCAAACAGGGAAGAACATAGAGAAGAGTATAAAAATCACCCGTAAGTCCTCAACCCTGAGATAATGAAAGACAGCCCTCTGGTGAGTCTTCCTTCCTCTAACTGACTCTTTTATGTGGCTGCTAGGAGATCGTATCATGCTTATAACCTGCTATTCTGTGTTTGTGCATTTGTTTTGCCATATCCTGGGTCACTCAGAATTCGTTGTGACCATCACGTTAATGATGCCAATGGTGGGAACGTAATGATATCAACAGCCACAACTTAGGGAGGGTCTTCTATATACCAGGCCCTGGACATTATCACCCCTCTACCTCACGTCAACCCTGAAAAGGGGATATTAGTGTTCCCAGGTAGAGCTGAGAAAGGTGAAATGATTTGCCCAGGACCCACAGCTAACAGTAGCTCCATAATACTAACTAACCTAGGTCACTCTGACTCCCAAGCCCATGCACTTTCCCTTCCATCTCATGATTTTCTCACCCGTGCCTCCATTACTGGACATTTGAGGCACTTCCAGTTTTTCTATGACAAATAATTCTATGCTACAAATTTGTGTACATAAATCTTTGAATTCCAGAGTGTTTCCTTAGGATAAATTTCTAGAAGTAGAGTTATTGGATCAAAGGTTATTAACATTTTACCATACGTTGTAAAATTTTTTTTCTAGGACTCTTTTTCATTTCTCGGTTTCATATTTGGTTCTTTCTCAAAGCCATCTATTATTGTTTCGGTGAGGTCCCTTCTTACCTTATGGATCCTCTTCTCTGTCTGTTCTACTGTATAACCTCTTTCAAGTTGATCCTTATCTGTAGTAACTAGAGTGGGATTTCTTCTTCCAAAGCGTTGGGAGTATTTGTTGGTGGGTTTCAGCAACAAAGACCTTGTGCAAAGTTCTGTGTGTACTGTGGGATGTGAATATTCCTCAGTGGGGATTATGTAATTTTGTAATCTGCCAGGACTGTGTGACATCTATCCATTAACCAGTTTGGGGGTTAATTTCTGGGCACTGGATGTCTTCACTCTGCCAAAAGTATCCCATCCCTGCTCCCTTGCTATGTAGGGCTTCTGCAGCTTCGGCTCCCTTCCCCATAGGTGTAAGACTCTAGCTCCTAGATACAGATCTGGCTGGGGTACCCCTAGGGCACAGACGCATGGCCCCAGTTCCCCCCATCACTCATCTCTAGCACCTAAAAAATATCTGTCCTTGTTTTGAGCTCAGTAATATATTGATATGACTTTAATATATATATATATATATATA